AAAGTATATGTGAACTGCTGTATGAAAAGTGAATTTACTCTGTAAATCTTCACCCAAATCAAAATAAAATTAAAAAAATAAAAACATAAAATAAATCCTCTAAGTAAAAATGAAAAGAAGATCAAATGTTGAAATAAACACATGTGGATTATGTACATACAAGGCATTGTTCAAGACACAAAGTACAAATGGCTCCTGTGTCCAGTAATCTAGTTAGGGAATAACAAGTAAGCACATAGGAAAAAACAGATGGAAAGCGTAGAATTAAATAAAGTAAAACTACCATGCAATACATGACTATAATAGTAATAATGATAAGATCAGCATTAAGTATTTGTATAGTGCTTACTACGCACACTTTAAGTGCTTTTATCTAAATTAATTGGTTTAATTCTCACAATAAGCCCATGGTATAAAGGTGTAGGCACTTCTATTGGCTCCTCTTTACAGCTGTAAAACCTGAAGCATGCAGAAGTTAAATACCTTTGCTCAAGGTCACATGGCTATGGCTAGTAAACAGTAGAGCAAAAATTCAAACTGGACAGTCCAGCTATAGTCTATGCTCTTAACCTCTACACTGTACCACTAAAATTTCTCAGAGGGGAAAAGCTCTGTGGCTTTAAGAAAGCTCTGTGGTTTTAAGAAAGCTTGAAAGAGGAGAAGAATGGAACACTTACATTTCCACACACTTTATATTTGATGTTTGGAATTTCTTTATCTGTGTTGAATAAAACTCACTGATGGTAAAATAGATTCCCTCCACTTCAACTTCTTTTAAGGGTATACCATGTAACAGGTACTGACCTAAGTGCTTTGCAGATATTAACCCATTTAATCCTCACAACTATCAGCACTAAGGTAAGAACACCAATGCAGCTGAGATCTGACCCAAGGAGTCCATGCTCTTAAATATCACTCTATTTGCTTCTCCTAAAATAAAACCTTAGGTCTTGTTCTTAAGCTTCTCTTTAGATAAGGGATGTCAGCATTAGTGTTGACATTTACAGGCTGGATGATTGAGGGATTTTGAACTGCTTACTAGTCTACAGAAGTACATTTGAAAAGAATTCTAGATCTTCACTAGATTGTGTGTTGCACAAGAACAGAGACTTTATCCATTCCGTTCACCACTATATTACCAGCATCCAGCCAGTGCCTGACATATAACAGATATGCAGTCAATAATTAACAAATAAATCAAACAGACTCAGATTTGTAGAACATTTTTATATTTAACCTAATAAAGTATTAATCCAAGTAGTTTAATGAACAAAAATGTTGTTATCCTAAGAACGATCTGTTTTGCTTTTTAAACGTTAAGTTTTAAATATTGACAAGGAAATATTTTATGTTAAATGAGGATGAAATCCTCTGGGTAAAACCAGAAATGCTATAATGTATTAAGCAAAACAGTGTCATTATTTAAAGTAAATTTGACTTACCTTTGAGCCATCTAAACTGATTATCCTATACACATTTCTTGTGCTGTCGTAGAAATAAGACACAGTAACTGCGTGCTTGCTGGTGGGTACCCAGTTCTTCTTTGTGTTTGGGTCAATCTGGAAGACATGAGCTCGAGTGCTGAAGATGGGTTGTTCCCTGCAAGGCAGAAATAAAATGACTGAGAACTGCCAGTTCTATCTCACTGGACAAGAGAACATGAAAACTACGAGGATGTCTCTGCTTAATCATCAATTCCCTATCCTCTGAAATTAGAGCAACTCTTCAAGTTTGAATATTCTAATAATTCAATCATAATAAATTTAGAACAACTATTCGGTTCAAATACAATTAACTTCTATCTGATCTTTACTAGGTTAAGAGATTTCACCCATTTATATCTGCATTATTCTGGGTAATAGGTAAGTAAGTTACTGGGAAGATTTACATTCAGTATACTGTCTACTGGGATCTCTGGTGTCATAGTGCCTAAGGCATTTGACTGCTAACCAGAAGGCTGGTGGTTCAAACTCATTAGCCACTCCTCGGAAGGAAGATTGGACAATCTACTTTGTAGAGATACCACCTTGGAAACCCAAGGAGGAGTCAGTATGAGTCAAATCAACTCTGTGGCAGTGAGTTTGGGTTTTTTGTTGTTGTTGTTTATAGTATCTACTATTTTGAAAAGTAAATGGGAAACAAAGTTGTTTGCCACCACAAATAACTTTTATTTAGCCCAAATAAGGCCTAAAAATATAATAGACTTTACAATTAGTTCTAGAACTCAGAACTACTCAAATATGTATTTAAAATATTATGATTACAGAATTTTTATAATCTAAGTAGCAAGAATGAGTTCATATATATATAAAAGGAGTATAATGCAAAACTTCCTGATTTCATAGTAAAAATTCTCCTGAAAATAGCATTTTCCACAGGTCCCTCCTCCCCTTTCAACACAGCTCATTTCTTCACAATGGCCGAAAGGCAAAAATAGCTTCAATGTTCATCAACAGATAAACAGATAAACAAAATGGGACACATATATGTACAATGGAATATTCAGGCATAAAGAAAAATGAAGTCCTGATACATGCTACCACATGACTGAACCTTGAAAACATTATGCACAATGAAATAAACCAGTCACAAAAGAACAAATATTGTATGATACCACTTAAAAGAAATATCTAAAATAGGCAAGTGTATAGAAATCAAAATTCATTAGTGATTATTAAGAGCAGAAGGAGGGGGAAAGGGATACTCAAATGATTAGGGAATACCCAGCTTCTGTTAAGGGTGACAGAAAAATCTGGAAATGGTAACAGTGATGGTTAAACAAAAACATAATGAATGTCACTGAACTGTACATGTGAACAATCTTGAAATGGCAAATGTTTTGTTACTATTTACCACAATAAAAATAAGTAAATAAAGCTCATTTATTTTCGTTTTCATAACACTTTTCTTTCCTAAAGTAGCTCAACATTCTTAAAGCAAATTTTTTAAAAAGGAAAAAGGGCAGAAAAGAGAAGAGAAATTAGAAAAGCAGGCAAGGTAGGTCCTGAGGAAAATGGCTCCCTAGGTCACTAATGATAGGCTGGATGTCATATATGTCTCCTGTATCCACTTTAATCCTTAGGGAGTACAGTTGTGAAAAGGAGGCACCATCCTGTAGGCAACCTGGTCTTTGTTTCATTTCTGGAAACTTCTGTAACAACTTTCCATATTAAAGAATGTGCTTTGAAATGAAGTGAGACTTTGTGACTGCCACTTCCTGTAAAATGAGGTAGAAAGTCTTCATTTCTTGCTTAACTGTGATCATATATGAATTCATTCAACACATAACTATTTACCCTCTGGCAAGGTACTTTACCAGGATTAAGAATTAGTCTCAACTGGGAGTAGGTCTTATTCATTCTCTTTCCTCATTCTTAGATCCTTGACTTTGAGTAAAGCTGGTGCTTAACAGTATGGTATCTTCCAAAAGCCCTGCAGCGTCTATTTTTTTCACTTTTTAATGAAAATTCTAAGTCTAATTGGTCAGATTAACTGTGACAAGCTAGTTCCAGTTCACAGGGAAATCCAATGACTAAAAATCTCTTAATATTAAAGCATTTAAGAGAGGGCACTGGGACATTCTAGACTTTATTACTGATCCCCGCATCTGAGGGGGGGTAAACAGTGCAAGGTGGTAATTATACGAATGTGTTCTAATAAGAATACTTTCTTAAAAACCAAAATAGCTGTTAAAACAATGATATTGCCTTTGCAAACTTCATGTGACCAAAGAACAAATCCTTATTAGATGGAAATGCAATGTTCTGAGCCCAGGAAATATTTGCCATATCATATTAAACACACTAATTCTCTTCTGAATAAAAATCTTGAAACTTATTATCCTACATAAGAAATGACATTTAAATATCAATTAAGTATCCAGCCTTCTTTGAGGTGCTCTGATAGTGCAAGGATTAAAGCATTTGGCTAATAAAAGGCCTGCAGGTTCGAAGCAGGAGAAAGATGAAGCAGTCTGCTTCCATAAAGATTTACAGCCTTGGAAACCCCATTAAGGCAGTTCTACTCTGTCCTACAGGGTCACTATGAGTAGGAATTGACTTAGTGGTAGTGGGTGTTTGTTTTGTTATCCAGTTTTCTTCAATTCCCTTCTGAATAGCTAGTTTCTAAAAGAAAGTTACAGTTCAGGATTTCTGTAGTCAAAAGCCTACCCTTCAAAGTCTGTTTGATAGAGGATAGGGAAATAATTTTCACTGCTGATACAGGAAACAGAATTCCTAGAATTAATGGTGATGTCACTATATCTAACAAGGCATACTAATAAATGATTCAAACCTTTATTGAATATCGACCACATGTCAAGCACTGGGGTAGAGATGACCCCTGCCTTTGAAAAGTTCAATCTGGTGAGGAAAACAAGTATGCTTTAAAAAAATTCTTCATCTGCTACATTCTTTGAAAGTTAGTGATGGAGGGCTAGGATGGAGAAAGTGATGCCTGAGTAGAGTTTTGAAACAACCTACTGGCACAGAACTGTGTAAAGACATAGTGGAAAAGAGTACATAGTACACTGTCATACTATAGCAAGAAGCTCAGGTGACTGAAAGCACCTATAGCGAATGTGGCCAGAGGTAAAGACAGAAGTCAGTTCATGAGGGTCCCAGCTGGAAGCTTTTGTGACGTTTTCTTTAGTGCAGTTTCTTACTTTAAAAGCATAACTTTGGCAACAGTGAAGCTGTGAATTAGAGGGAGACAACATTACACATAAGGAGGCTAGTCAGAACCCTACTGAAGAATCTAAGCAAAAAAAAAGAGGGTAGGTTGTTAGGAAGTAGAATGAACAATTGAGGAGGGATTTAGGAGTATTTGAAAAGTTAAATAAGTAAGATTAAATAACAGATTGGATGTAGGGCAGAGTTCTCAAATGGGGTGATTTTGTGCCTTGGGGATATTGTGGAATGTCTAGAGACCTTTTTTTTGGTTGTCACAACAGAGAAGGGAGGACACATGCTACCAGCATTTAGACAGTAGAGGTGAAGGATGCTGCACAAGACAGCCCCACAACGAAGAATTACGTGGCCCAAAATGCCAACAGCTTTAAGTTATAAGAAATGCTTACCGAAACATCTTCCTGTTGGTTTATAAAATAATAATTCTAGGAAGCTAGTATAGGAACAACTCTGAAGTTCCTGATACTGGATTAAAGCCTTGTTTATGTATTATGTATACTGAATCACTCTAAAATTTAACACGAATGTGCAAAATTGAAAGCACATAAGTATAAGATAGCCCTAAAGAAAAAGTAAAATCAGAATTCTGTTTTAAAAATAAAGCTTATTCAAATTTCATTACAGTAGAGATAAAGAACTACTACATTTAGCTCTCAGGCATCTAGAAATGAGAATCATGAAAAGCTAAAGCAAAACAAAAAGACTATTTGCCAAGATACATACATACTCTAGATTTAGGAAAAAAACAGAAAAGCTAACATTCATCATGTGAACAGATGTGATTTAAAAAAATCAATGATAATGCTTTTTAAAATTACTAGTGACATCCAAACTTTTGCAAACGTTAGTGATCGCTCAATAAATCTTCATGCCAAGGAACTAAAAGAGAATAGATCTGATAAACACAAGCAAGCTCAAACGTAGGAAAGGAAATTGTACATTTCTCAGCCTTCTTTTAATGTCTGGCTTCCACATGACTTCAGATAATCAAGTACAACTGGATATTATAGCAAAGGAGATATAAAGAAAGTTATGGTTTCAAATAATTTCCTGACTTCCCACTTAATTTTTCCACAAAAGTGGCCTGGCAGACTTTACAAAACAGGGTTGATAATATTTTCTGCTGGATACCATTACAGACATTGTCAACTGAGTACCCAGAACTCTTCCTCCTCAGTCCTTTGTACAAAACCTTAGATATCATTCAAGTACTCTCCCCTTCCCCACATGACTATGTGCTGCACTAAGATAATGACTGCAATCCCTTGTCTTTGCCAGGTATTGGTTTAGGACCAACCATCTGATATAATTCTGGTCAAAGAAAAGGAATGGAAGTTGGCCAGTAGTTTCTGGGTATAGTCACAAAGAGACAATCACATAAGAAGAGATGTTCTCTTAAATAGTTTTGTGTTCGCATGTGACACTTGGATCTGAAGAAGCCATCTTGGTACTATGAGGGAAGCTAACCTGAGAATAAAGCCAACATCCTTTATCAAGAGCAGCAGGTGGAAAGACAAAGAATCTGAGTCCTTTACCATGTTACTGAATTGATAAATCAGCGTACCTCCACATTTATGTGATAAAACAAGTTTCCTATTTGGAAGAGTTGTCATTTTTAAAATTACACAAAATTACATGGAAAAAGAGGTTTGCATGTAATAAAAGAGGTGGATATACAGATAGACAGGCTAAATGATCAGGTATATCTAGGCAGAAAGGAATACACCCATGATTTGTGAGTTAAGAATGGCCATATACCAACAAACATATGAAGAAATGCTCACGATCACTAGCTATTAGAGAGATGCAAATCAAAACAACAATGAGATACCATCTTGCTCCCACACTAGCAGCAAAGTTCAACAAGACAGAAAATAGTAAATGTTGGTGAGGATGTGGACAGATTGAGAC